CTGGGCACAGAGCTGGGCCAGCCCATGGGCACAGAGCTGAGCCAGCCTATGGGCACAGAATCAGCCCCCAGCCCGTGGGCACAGAATTAGCCCCCAGCCCATGGGCACAGAACTGGGACAGCCCATGGGCACAGAACCAGGCCAGCCCATGGGCACAGAGATGCCCCCAGCCTGTGGGCACAGAGCTGGGCCAGCATAGGGTCAGCCCCCAGCCCATGGGCACAGAATCAGCCCCCAGCCCATGGGCACAGAGACGCCCCCAGCCCATGGGCACAGAGCTGGGCCAGCTCATGGACACAGAATCAGCCCCCAGCCCATGGGCACAGAGTCAGCCCCCAGCCCATGGGCACAGAGTGAGCCCCCAGCCCATGGGCACAGAGTGAGCCCCCAGCCCATGGGCACAGAGCTGAGCCAGCCCATGGGCACAGAATCAGGCCAGCACAGGGCCAGCCCCCAGCCCATGGGCACAGAATTAGCCCCCAGACCATGGGCACAGAGCCAAGCCAGCACAGGACCAGCCCCCAGCCCATGGGCACAGACCCGGGCCAGCCCATGGGCACAGAATTAGCCCCCAGCTCCTGGGCACAGAACCAGGCCAGCACAGGGTCAGCCCCCAGCCCATGGGCACAGAATCAGCCCCCAGCCCATGGGCACAGAGCTGAGCCAGCCCCCAGCCCATGGGCACAGAGTCAGCCCCCAGCCCATGGGCACAGAGATAACCCCAGCCCATGGGCACAGAATTAGCCCCCAGCCCATGGGCACAGAGCTGGCAGGGGTTCACTGGGGGCAGCTGGCACACAGCACCCCAAACACCCCCAGAGCCCACCCCAGCTGCTCTGGGGGCGGCTGCAGGGCTCGGGGAAGGCACAGGGCCCCCGTCCCACCTGGGACACACAGGCTGCCTGTCAGGACAGGCACAGGCACAGCCCACGCTGGGCCAGCTCCCTCTGGCAGCATCCCCAGTCCCCAAATCAGCAGGGATCTGCCTGGGAGTGCAGGAAAAGCTGGAAGGGGCTGTGCTGTGTGCTGGGATGCACAGCCCCGGGCCTGGCTCCGTGCTGGCCATCGCTCCCCTCCGGTTGCAGAGAGCCAGAGAAGGGAGGCAAATGCAGTTGCACACTTCCAGATCATTCCTGCAACCTGCGATGCTCAGATAACACCAGGAAATCAGCCCTGCCCTGGGCAGGGTCCTGTGGATTTGCAGCAGCTGTGCCAGGGAGTGGCAAAGCCTCAGCTGTGCCAGGGGCAGAACTGCCTGCCCAGGCACAGCCTCACCTGAGAGGTGGCAGGAGGGATGGAGGGTGGGGGCCCAGGCACCAATATCCCTGTGCTGCCAGGGAATGGGAGCTGTGGGAGCTGTGGGAGCTGTGGGGGCTGTGGGGGCTGTGGGGGCTGTGGGAGCTGTGGGAGCTGCTCTGTGCCTCAGGTGGGGCCAGCCCTCTGCTCCCTGGCTTTCCCACCTCTTATGTGTAGTAGATATAATTGTGCCATTTCTAATATGATATATGTGATATTGAATATTTGTTGGAGTATTAGGATTCCTTCCCACCCTCGCAGGAGAGACCGGGTGTATGTTGGAAACTGATTTACAAGTAAGAAGGTACAGCTGGCCAGGAGATGGGCCATGTGTGGTGGGATTTGGGGACACCAGGAGATGGGCCATGTGTGGTGGGATTTGGGGACACCAGGAGATGAGCCATGTGTGGTGGGATCTGGGGACACCAGGAGATGGGCCATGTGTGGTGGGATTTGGGGACTCCAGGAGATGGGCCATGTGTGGTGGGATTTGGGGACACCAGGAGATGGGCCATGTGTGGTGGGATTTGGGGACACCAGGAGATGGGCCATGTGTGGTGGGATTTGGGGACACCAGGAGATGGGCCATGGCTGGGGAGATACAGAACCCCCAGGTGCTGATCGTCCTTGAACAACTCGAGATGGAAATCATGGAAATCCTCAGGCAGATCCATGTGAATGCAGCGTTCCCGAATTCCCATAAACTTCATCAAGGGATTCAACAAACTCCGACACTGAATTGTTCTCCCTCATCACCAAAAAGGAAAATCTTATTAACATATGGACTCTGAATAAAAGAAAAGACTGATTGCTGAAATCTTGGCCTTAGGAGGAATTTTCCCTATAAAAACCCCTTGTGCCAGGCTGGAGGTGTGTGGGCATGGAGGAAACCTCTGCTGAGGCTGACTCCTTGTTGCACACCCAGGGCCGACCCCGGGCTCAGCTCTGCTCTTTCCTCGTGGCTGGCTAGCTAGAATTTGATTGCAAAATAAATAACTTTATTTTTTCATATGAATTTAGCTGGACAAACTTTCATTTATAAAACCACCCCAGCTGTTATGGCCAAACCCATGAAGGAGAAGATAAACAAGAAGGTGAGATCAGGCAGCAGGAGGGGAGATGAAGGTGGCCAGCCTGCCACGCTCCCCACGCAGCCCCTGAGCCCGCCGGGTGCCACACACAGCGTGGCAGGGTGATTTCACACCATCTGCCCATGCCTTGATTTCAAATTCTGCCCCTCTTCCCCAGAACGATTCGTTTCTCGAGGGAAAAAAGCACATTTTCTTTCAAGTTAAGCAGCTGAATCCTGAGCAGCTGCAAGCAGAGCCATGCAGGGAGGGCAGGGGGCTGCCTGAGGGTGGCATGCTCCCCAGCCTGTTTTCCCCAGAGAGTGGCATTGCCCTTTCCAACTGCTGGGAATTTTCTGCAGAGGTTTTCTTAGCAACGTTCTGCTTTATTTTTAACGCGGAATAAAAGTTAGCCCCAGAACAAAATGCACCAGGGGAGGGGCGTGTCAGCTGAGCTCTCCTGCTTTGTTTGTTTGATTTTGGTGGGTGCTTTCCTGTGGGCCTCCTTCCCTCTTGGGGTGGCATTTGAGAGGTGTTTTGTGAAGGGCAGAGCCTGAGGCTCCCCCGGTGCTGTGCCAGGCACACTCTTCTCTCTCTCAGGATTTTTTATTGAGGAGCACAGACAGAAGAAAGAGAAAACAATTTCTATTTCTGCTCCTTGTTTTTCCCATGTGGAATGTGTGTGGAGAATTGTTTACCTGGGGTGATGCTTGGTTTGAATTGGATTGTTTGAACCTGGTGGCCAATCCAACCCACTGGGGCTGGACTCTCAGAGAGGGGCACGAGTTGGGAGTGAGTTAGATATGGCAGTTAGAAAAAGTAGGTTTGTAGTTTTAATATCTCCTTTAAATAGTATATTAATGTATTATAGTACAGTTATAATAAAGAAATCATTCAGCTTCTGAGCTGGAGTCGGACATCAGCATTTCTGCCCACTGGGTTCACTATATTTACAATACAGTGCCTCATCCTGCCCTTTTGGGGCCCAGGGCACCCACTCTGGGGTGGATTTCCCCACCACAGACAGTGAGCTCCTTCCATGAGGTGTGAGAGCATCCCAAAACTGCGGCTGTGAGGCCAGAGAGCAGCTCCTGAGCATCCTGTGGATGACAGCACAGCTCCCTTGCACTTGTTCTTCCCAGCACAGGGAGGAGGAGGCCTCCCCTGCCCGGCTCTCAGCCTTATCGCTGCCCAGCATTGCCATTTTAAGCAACTGATCTCTAGGGGAAAAAAAAAACCTTAATCATTTCCGATGAATCACACTGAGTGTGTTTGGCTGGGAAAGTCTTGTGGGGGGTGCTGGTCAGCCATGAGGAGGAGGAGGAGGAGGAGGAGGAGGAGGAGGGCATGGGAAGGGCTGCTGCATGGCACCAGCCGGGGAGCAGCGCTGGGGCTGGGGGTCAGCACAGGGGATGGTGGTGGGAGAGGTGCCTGGGCATTCCCAGGAGGAATGCTGTGGCTCCTGCGAACCTGGAGTGGTCAGGGTGGGTCGAGGGGATGCAGCCCCTGCTGCCGGGGGATGGGAGTGCTGCAGGGAAAGCAAGTGGAGGAGAGAAAAGGATGTGCAAAAGTTCAGAGTGTCTGGGCTGAGAGCGGGAGGAGGGCACTGTCACAGCTCCTGGGAGTTTGGGCAGCCCCATGTGTGATGAACCTGAATCAGCGAGTTTTGGGTGTCCTGTGAATGGGGAAGCAAAACGCCTTTGAAGGGGAGGAAAACCTTTGTCCTCCAACAGCCCCGGGGGAAACTGAGGCACGGAGCCAGGCTGTGACAGGGCAGGGACACTGCAGCCGGGTATCTTGCGTGGCTGGCTGCGGGCAACTCAGCACCTGGCGGGGTTCGTTGTGCTTTTCCCGGCTCTGCCCTGGGCTGGGTGATTATCCCGGGATAATGGGAGCCTTGTGCAGCCCCCGGGCCGGCCACCGCAGGGAGCAGCTTCTGCACAGCCGCCCCATTCAGCAGCAGCTGGGGCGGATCGCTGCGATGCCCGGGGCCCTCCTCGGGGTCCCAGCGGGGTTGGGGACACCGAGGCTCAGCGGGGCTGGGGTACCGACCCCGCCTGGGACACGAGCTGCTCCGGCCCCCCGGTCAAACTGCCCGCAGGGGTCCGCCGGAGCCTAAATAATGACAAAGAGCCTAGATAATGACAAAGAGCGTTTTGCCTCCCTGTTTTGAGTCTCGGCGTGGGTTCAGAGGTGATCCCCCAGCTGTAGGGCTGGGCAGGGCACTGGGTCACTTCTGATTATCGCCACTGCTGGCTGCACATTGGACTCTCAGGGACCGGCATTGCCCAAACACTCTGAAAAACACATCCCACGCCTCAGCCCCTTTCTGCGGGTCTGGGAGTGATCCCACCTCCAGCGCCCGGCTGTCTGCCTGCCTCAGCCGCTGCACGCCCGGACAGGCAGGAGCTGGCAGGTCTGCGAGCCCCTCCGGCGGCGGGGCCGGGCCGAGCCGAGCCGGGCCGTGCGGGGCCGGGCGGAGCGCTGCGGGGCTGGGCGGCCACAGCGCTGCCTGTGCTGCTGGGGGGGATCAGCGGCTGCGGGCGGTGGGCAGGCACCGCGCCTTCCTCCTCCTCCTCCTCTCCTCCTCCTCTCCTCCTCCTCCTCCGCCTGACGTCAGCCCGCGGCCCCGCTCAGTCTGGGGCGGCCGGCGGCGGGCATGGCTGGGGGGCGGCGGCCGGTGGGGCTCGCCCTGGGCTGGGGCTGCTGCCTGCTGCTCTGCTGCGGTGAGTGGCTGCGGGAAGGGAAGGGAGAACCGGGCGGTGCGGGAAGAACCGGGCGGTGCGGGAGGGAAAGGCGGTGCGGGAGGGAAAGGCGGACCGCGCACCTGCGGAGCGCTGGTGGGGATGTCCCCCTCTCCGGGGACACTGCGGGACCGGCTCGGCCCCGCTGCAGCTCCCCGGGGTGTCCCATGACCGGTGTCCCCGCGGTGGGACCGGCAGCGCTGCGCCCCTCGGGCGGTGCCTGGCGCGGCTCCGGGAATGTTCGGATCGCGGGGTCGGGGCAGCGCAGGTGGGATCGGCCCTTCCCAGCCCGTGTCCCCGCCCGAGCGGCCCCGCGATCCGCAGCGGGGCGGGTCTGTGTCCCCCGTGCCGCTCCCGGGGCCCCTCTCACCCCCCGGGGCAGCGCAGCTTGTGGGGTGCCCCACGTGCGTTCGGGATGAGCTGGTTGTTGTTAGGAACATCCACCCCTTTCCTTCTAAGGAGTTTTCCCCCGAGCGCTGTGTTTCTCTTGGCTTTTTTTTTTTCGTGCTTTCTTTTTTTATCCACTTTCCAGTCCATTTTCACCCTCGGGGGGTGGCTGCGCTTCCTGCCCTGCCCCGCTCCCCGCATCCCGCCCGGTGCGCCGGCTGCTCCCTGCCCCGCTGGGCTGCGGAGGTGGCCCCGGCGCTGGGAACCTGCCCGGGCCGAGCTGCTGGAGCCAAAATCAGGCTCCGAGCGGAGTCTGGAGCCTGCTGCTCCCACCCCCGTCCCGTGCCGGGATCCCCTTCCCACAGCACATGTGCCGAGCCAGGAGTCTCTCAATGCTTGGCGGTGTCGGTGTATTTGGAAGCCCAGCCACGTGAAAGGTTTGATGATTCCCAGAAGCACAAGGGGCTACAGCCAAGACATCCCCAGGCCAGCCAGAGCTGCTGGAATGGGGGCTGAGCCCACCCCGGGGCTGCCTGAGCCCACCCCGGGGTGCTCAGCCACCCCATCCCTTTGTGCACCGCGGTCTGGCTGTGAGGTGTCTGCGCCTTGTCACCCAGCTGCGGGGTGGGGTTGATTTCTTTGCCTCTCCAGGTGCACATGACGGGATTCTGACAGGGTGCTGGGGTTGTTTTGGGGTGCGAGGTGCTGCAGCAGAGCCCTGGCTCTGTCCCCATCCCGGGCAGGGCGGAGGCCAGTGGTGTGTGGAGGTGTTGGGCGCTGGTGGTGGTGCTGCTTCCTGCAGGGCTGGGGCTCTGCACCCTCTCTCTTCTCTCTGGGAAGAAGACAGGATGTGGGTGATGCTGTTTTGGGGCACCCCAGCTCGGGGGTCTGTGCATAGGAGGGTAGCATGTGTGGCTGTGCGGGAGCAGGCAGGATCTGGCCACAGCTGGTTTCCTCGAGGAGGGAACACAAACCCAGGGAAACCTCAGGAATCCCATGTGCGGCTCCAGAGCCCTGCGGTGCCTCTCTTGCTCCGGGCCGGGGGCTCTGTGCTGCCAAGGCAGCCGCACTTTTCGCCTTCTCGCCGCACACCTCGGCCCTGCAGGAGGCTGGCGAGGGACTCTGCTGCTCCCCACCCCCTTCTCCAGCTCTAAAAGCAAATCTTTGTTCTTGCGGAGCTCTGGCTGCCGGCCGGCTGTCCGCCAGCCAGATGGAAAAGGCACGGGGGCTCTCCTTCCTTCCCTGCTTCGCCGCCTGCAGCCGCCCTCTCCACATCCACAGATCTCCAGGTCTCTGCCTGGAGCTGTGCCAGGCTCTCGGGGTGCATGGAGCTGCTCCACTCGTGGCTGCTGGGGCTCCCCAGGTTCCACCACCAAACCTGCAGGGAGGATCGCCGAGTCCCTGCAGCCTGCTGTGCCAAGCTGGCTGTGCCAGGCTGGCTGTGCCCAGCGCCTCTGTAGCCTGCCCACGCACAGAGCAAAAGGTCTTGGAGCTGTAGAAGCGAGCCTTGTGTCCCCAGGGTTGTGGGGGACCTTGTGAGTGTCCCCTTGTGTCCTTCTTCCAGCCTGTCCCGGAGGAGGTGGGGAGCAGTGAGCCCTTTTTCCAGGCAGGGTCGGGGCTGCAGCGACCGTGTCAGCCTCCTCAAGGGCAGTGGATGGCTGGGGGGGTTGTGATCCTGATGCCAGCCCCGGATGCCAGCCATTCTCCAGCTCTGAGCTCATGATTTCGCTTGCTCCGCTGCCTGGTAGAGGGCTCTCATGCCGAGCGGGTCAGGGGGAGGGCCAGCTGCTCTCCGGGGGCTGGCTCTGCCTGGGGCCTCGCCAAGGTCTGAAGATGATGGAGAGGCAAAGTCTGGCCTGGCTGCTGCATTCAGGGTGCCGGGGCTCAGGGGAGGCAGCACGGACCCAGCCCAGCTTGCCCAGTTGTGCCCTCCTGCAGCAGGAGCCAAGTCGTGGCTGTACAGGTGGGCAGCTGCTTCCTGTGCAAAGTTATCTTTTGTGTTCTCAGCCAGTTTCCTGTCCCCGCTGCGTGCTTATCTCTGGGACTTTCACCTGTTTTCCAGCACCTTCTTTGCTGTGCCGTGATTTGTCCATCCCTCTTTGCCAGCTGTGATACGCTGAGGGGATGGCCGAGGGCCCAAACCTGTGTGTTGGGGAGCTCTGAGGTGGCTGGTCCTGCACTGTCAGGGCCTTTGCTGTGCCAGGAGGGCTCCTGGCTGCGTTTTGGCTTTGTGCCACCACAGAGCCACTCCAAACAAAGCATTTTGTGGGCACGGCGCTGCCCTTTGAAGTGTGGCGGCTGTCAGGGGAGATGTTGACACAGCTGCTTCCCCCAAGCCTCTGTCCCCAGCTCCCGTACCTGGGCTGGCTCTGCTGCTTGGGGACAGGCTGCTGTCCCCTCTGCAGGGCCGTGTGCCAGCCCAGGGTGTGCAGAGCCCCCTTTGCTGTGGCAGGGGTGGTGGCAGTGGCACTGCCAGCCTTGCTGTGATGCCGCCCTTGTCTCTGCTCTGCTCCCAGTCCTTGGGAAGCTGCTCCGTGCCCTGTCCTGGATCAATAGCCATTACCTTTCCATCCTCTCTGGAGCAGGGCCAGCAGCTCCATTACTGCTGTGGGCAGCTGGGCAGGGAGGAAGAGGGTGCAGGGATGGGCGAGCTCTGCTCAGAGGGGTGTGGGCCCTGTGCCGTGCGTGGGCAGAGCCTTGGGAATGCTGCAGGGATGGATCTTGAACTGCTGGGTTCAGAGCTTGTGGAGGGACCTGGCAGTCCTGGCTGGGGATGTGCTGCCTCCCATCAGTGTCCTGAGGATGCAGCTGGTGGGGCAGGACATGCCATGTGCCCCCTTTGGGTACAGGATCGCTGGCCCGAGCCCGTGGGCATGGCAATGGGGTCCTGGCTGTCACTCCACAGTGTGTAGAGCACAAGGCACGGCTCTGCCCCACAGCTTTTGGGGGATGGAGATGGGGACAGGCTGTGCTTGGACAGCCCATTCTTCCCCATCCTTCCTGCCCCTAACAGCAAATTCTGCCCCACAGCTGCAGCCAGCAAGCTGGAGATCTCCATGCCACCCGTGCTGGAAGTGGAGTTGGGGGGCACAGCCAGGATCGAGTGCAACTTCTACATCCCTGAGAATGCTTCCTACACCTACATCGACTGGTTCTACGTGAGTGCTGGCCTGGGGAAGCAGCTCTGCCTGCTGGGCTGGGCTGGCAGGAAAGAAAAAGCCACCCCAATGGGCTGGCAGGGATGGGTTGGGATGGGATGCCAGGCAGCCCTGCAGAGCAGCTGCCCAGGGGTGCCACCCTCCTGTGCAGCCGGGCTCCCCAGCCCAGCCTGGCCCCTCGCCCTGCAGGTGGACCGCAGCAACAAGCAGGTGAGGCTGTTCCACGTCACGGCCAGCGGGGTCATGGAGGACGACACCGACTACAAGCAGCGGCTGTCCCTGGGGGAGGACAAGGCCCTGTCCCTCAGCGCGGTGACACTGCAGGACGCCAGGACCTTCATGTGCCAGGTGGGAGCTGGCAGCTACGGCGTGGGCGAGAGCAGCACCGAGCTCAGCGTCTACAGTGAGTGGCACAGGAGGGCGGCACCCCTGGGCAGCTGCTCTGCGGGGCTGGCTGGGATCCCATCCCAACCCATCCCTCCTAATCCCTCTGCGGTGGCTTTTCTTTCCAGAGGTCCCCACCACCCCTGAGATTGAGCCCGTCTCAGGAGGCATCTCCGTGCACAACAGTGAAACCCCCGAGGTGAGGAGAGGCTGCAGGCAGGGTTAGCAGGGACAGGCTCCCTGCTCAGCCTGAGTGCGCTCACGGCTCTCTCTGCCACGCAGATTGCCAAGTGTGTGAGCAAAAACAGCTTCCCAGCTCCCAACATCACCTGGCACAGGAACGGGGAGCAGCTGCACAACCAGGAGAACGGTGAGTAGGGCTGGGGTGAGCAGCCAGCCGGGCAGAGGGGCTGGGGGCTGGCAGCCAGAGGAGGAACCCTCCTTTGTGTGTCACCTCCCTCCTGGCCGTGTCCCCGCAGACGTGGCCATCCTGTCGACGGTGACGCGCGAGTCGAGCGGGCTGTACACGGTCAGCAGCACGCTGTACGCGCCCGTCACGCGCGAGGACCGCCACTCCCGCTACCACTGCACCGTGCACTACTGGCTGCAGGGCCACAGGCGTGCCCTGGACTCGCAGCGGGTCAAAATCAACGTTTTCTGTGAGTCTGGGGCCGGGGGCTGCGCTGGTGCCCTGCAGTGGGGCTGAGCTCTGACTCTGCCCATCCCCGCCCCAGACCCCGCCGAGCACTTGACGCTCCAGGTGGTGCCCTCCTCGACGCTGGTGAAGGAAGGGGACAATGTCACGCTGGTCTGCGAGGCTGATGGCAACCCACCGCCCGTTTTCAGCTTCTTTAAGAAAAACGTGAGGCTGGAGGGGACCCTGGGCACCTCTCCCTCAGCAAACAGCTCCTGGTTGCTCCTTGTGCCCTGCCCGGAGGTCCTGGGGAGGGGAGGCAGTGGCTGTGTGGGGCTGACCCTGCTTTGTGCCCACTGCCTGCAGCTGGATGACTGGCAGGATGTGACACCGCTGGCAGACCCCGACAACGGGGTCCTGAAGCTGCACGACGTCAACAAAACCAGCAGCGGCACGTACAGGTGCCAGACCCTGGACCTGGATGATCTGTCACAGATAGAGGAGGAGGTGGATCTTGTTGTGAACTGTAAGAGAGAGGGGACTGGACCCCGTGGGCCTCATGGTGGGTGCTTTGTGCCTCCTGCTCACCCTGCCCCGCTCTCCATCCCTCTCCTAGACATTGAAGGGGTCCATGTGAAGATGGAGCCGTCCTCAACCCTTCGTGAAGGGGACAGTGTGATGCTGAGCTGTGATGCCAACAGCCCCGTGGGCCTGAAATACCAGTGGAGGGATGAGAAGGTGAGTAGGCATGCCAGTTCTGCTGTGCTCAGGCTCAGCCTGGGCTTTGCAGCAAATCAGGCAGAGTCAGGATCTTTGTCCATCTGTCCTGAGAGGCCAAGGGAAGGATTCCCTCTTTCATGGACCTGCGCTGTCCACCCCACTGTTGTCACCTCCTGGCCAGTACTGCAGGGAGGCCCTGTGCTTGCAGAAGGGCTGAAGCCCTTTGGGACATGGGCACAGAGGGCTCATTGCTGGGGACATTCCTTCCCACCAGGGCAAGAAGCTGGTGGAAGGGAACCAGCTCTTCCTGAAGAACCTCACCTTCGAAACCTCCAGCAACTTCAGCTGCAGGGTGATGGCCCCGAGCGTGCCAGGGCTGGAGCAGAGCAAGAAGGTGTCCGTGGCTGTGGAGGGTAAGGCCTGGCCTGGGTGCAGAGTGACCCCTGGGTGCAAAGTGACCCCTGGGTGCAGAGTGACCCCTGCCTGCCCAAAACCCATTCCATCAAGAGCTGTGGGTGCAGAGTGACCCCTGAGTGCAGAGTGACCCCTGGGTGCCCAGCACCCATTCCCCAGGAGCTGTGGGTGCAGAGTGACCCCTGGGTGCAGAGTGACCCCTGGGTGCCCAGCACCCATTCCCCACAAGCTGTGGGTGCAGAGTGACCCCTGCCTGGCCAAAACCCATTCCCTGAGAGCTGTGGGTGCAGAGTGACCCCTGGGTGCCAGCACCCATTCCCCAGGAGCTGTGGGTGCAGAGTGCCCCCTGGGTGCCCAGCCCCCGCTCCCCAGGAGCCGTGGGTGCAGAGTGACCCCTGGGTGCAGAGTGACCCCTGGGTGCCCAGCACCCGTTCCCCATGAGCTGTGGGTGCACAGTGACCCCTGGGTGCCAGCACCCATTCCCCAGGAGCTGTGGGTGCAGAGTGACCCCTGGGTGCCCAGCACCCATTCCCCAGGAGCTGTGGGTGCAGAGTGACCCCTGGGTGCAGAGTGACCCCTGGGTGCAGAGTGACCCCTGCCTACCCAAAACCCATTCTTTGAGAGCTCTGGGTGCAGAGTGACCCCTGGGTGCAGAGTGACCCCTGGGTGCCCGGCACCCATTCCCCACGCGGTGTGGGTGCAGAGTGACCCCTGGGTGCTGATGCCCCCTGGGTGCCCAGCACCCCCTCCCCAGGAGCCGTGGGTGCTGATGCCCCCTGTCCCCAGGGAAGCCGCGGATCGTGGCCATCAGCTCCCCGCTCTACGTGCGCCAGGACGAGGTGATCAACCTGACCTGCAAGGCCATCGCCTTCCCCCCGCCCACGGTGCAGTGGAGCATCAACGGCACGGTGAGAGCGGGCAGGGGCCAGCCTGGCACGGCCGAGGGGCTGCCCAGGCGCTGAATCCTGCCCTGCCTGCCCTGCCCAGGCTCACGAGTTCGTGGACAAGCAGCACATCGCCAGCAACCTGACGGTGCGGGTGAGCCACGAGCTGCTGCAGGCGGGAGCCATGTGCCGGGTGTCCAACAAGCTGGGTGTCAGTGAGAAGCACATCCAGCTGCTGGTGGGTGAGTGTCAGGCACTGCTCGCTGTGCCAGGAGCCCCCAGCAGTGGCAGTCCACGCTGACCGTGCTGCTGTGCGGTGGCTGAGCTCGGTGTCTTTCCCTCCCTCCTTGCTCCTCCAGATGATTCCATCAGGAAAGGTCAGTCTGCTGACACGGGTTATGCTCAGCTCTAGGCTGGGGAGGGAACGTGGCTGCTGGCTCTGCACTGCTTCTGGTGCTGCTGCTTTTCCTGCCAAGGCAGGAGGGAGGTGGAGGCTCTGTCCCCAGCGGTGGAAAGCTGCCTGCTTGTCCTCAGCGAGGCCACCAAGTGCAGCTTCTGCAGCCCAAACCTGCTGGGCAAGGAAGCAGAGGGATGGCCTGGTGCCCTGCAGGAATTCCTGTTATCCACCCTCCTGTGGCACACGTGGCATGGCAGCCCAGAATTACAGAAACAGAATTACAGTTTCTTACAGAAACTGCCCCAACGGGGCATTTCTGTACTGAAATCTGCATCCTGCAGGCAGCTGGGGGAGCACTGGAGCTTTTTTGGGAGAGGGAACCCTTTTCCTAACGCAGAAGGGAAGCTGGAGAGGGTCACAGTGGGACAGGCATTAATTTCTTCCTCTCCCCGTTGTGTTCAGATCAAAAGTCAACAGCAGAGAGCCAAGGGGTGATCATCGTGGCCATCATCGTGGCCATCCTCGTGGTGGCCGTGCTGGGCGCTGTCATCTACTTCCTGCACAAGAAAGGCAAGATCCCGTGTGGCCGTGCCGGGAAGCAGGACATGTAAGCACTGCCACCAATCCCCCAGGGGCCTGTGGGGCTGGGGGTGCTTGAGATCACTCACGCTTCCCATCCCATCCCCATCCCACCCCATCCCATCCCCATCCCATCCCCATCCCATCCCCATCCCATCCCCATCCCATCCCCTCCCATCCCATCCCATCCCATCCCATCCCATCCCCTCCCATCCCATCCCATCCCATCCCATCCATCCCATCCCATCCCATCCCATCCCATCCCATCCCATCCCATCCCATCCCATCCCATCCCATCCCATCCCATCCCATCCCCATCCCATCCCCATCCCATCCCCATCCCATCCCCATCCCATCCCCATCCCATCCCCATCCCATCCCCATCCCATCCCCATCCCATCCCCATCCCATCCCCATCCCAACCCCATCCCATCCCCATCCCATCCCATCTCCCATCCCCATCCCATCCCATCTCCCATCCCCATCCCATCCCATCCCATCCCATCCCATCCCATCCCATCCCATCCCATCCCACGCTCCGGCTCTCCCTTCCCGGCGCACAGCGGGGCGGGATCGTGTCCTTGGCACCACGCCGTGGGCTCAGCAGCTTCTCCAGCTTCCCACAGGGCACTGCCATGCAGGGAGGAGACAGCAGAGTGGTAGAGCAGCCAAGGGCCCCTCCCTGGGCATCCCAAAGCCTCCTGTGAGCTGGAGTCTCTCTGACCCCGAGATGGAGCCCCAGGGCTCGGCCAGCCACGTGCCCTCCCACGCGTCTCAAAAATTGTCACCTCCCTCCCCTAGCACAAAGCCAGAGGCCCGTAAAGACAAGATTGTAGTTGAAGTTAAGTCAGATAAACTTCCCGAAGAGGCGGGGCTCCTGCAGGGCGCCAACGGCGAGAAGAGAGCTGCAGCTGACCAGGTAGGACAGAGCGACGGGCACGGCCCGCCCGGGGCTGCCCGGGGCTGCCAGCGCGGCTCGGGCACGGGGCTGCACCCAGGTAATGCTTTGGGCACGGGGCTGCCCCCAGGTAACGCTTTGCTCCCCTCCTGCAGCACTGCCCACCCTGCACGGGCTCCATCATCCATCAGCAGCGCTCGGGGGAACGTGGGGGGACGGGAGGGGACAGGTGACAAAGTGCTGGTGGCAGTGCCCTGCTTGGCTCTGCCACCTTCCGCACAGCCCCCAGGGCAGCAGGAGCTGAAATGGAAAGATGTGTGGCCACAAGTCAGAGCAGGGAGCAGGAATGGCTCCTCTGAGCTCTTGGGATTAGTCCTTTGGGACGTGTAATGTCCCCTCACCCGGGATGGAGCAGCTTTTTAGTGTCACTGCTGGGCCACCACCACCACAAGACGCAGCCCAGAGCCCACTGTGGTTTTATTTGCCCCTGCCTGGCTCTGCACGGCTCACACCGTGCCACCCTGGGGTGCCCCAGCTGTCCCCACGGCCCTGTGTGTGTCCCTGCCACCCCTGCAGGGTTTGTGTTCGTCCCTAACCGTGTGTTTCCCCTCTCCCTTTCTCTGCTGGCGGGACTGAAGAGCGAGAAATACATCGATCTGAGAAACTAGAGAGGAAAACCTACTAAGTGCTTTCTTCCTTCAAACCTTTCCTGCTCTTGGATTGCCTTCTCCCACCCCTGCTGCAGCCCCTGGGGAGCACGGCCAGAGAGCACCCGGGTGTCCCCGAGCTGGGGACACCTCCCTGCCTCACCTGGCCACTACCTCAGCCCTGGGCTCGCAGGTGTTGCCTTAGCAGCAAAGCTGGACTCGCTTTACTACTCCAGAGAAGCCACAGCAATATTAGGAAGAATTATATCCCATTAATCCCTACTTTGGTGGAAGGATTTGAGGCTCTTTCAGGTAATCTGTTCTGTACGTGTTGTGGGAAGGTTTTGACGTGTTCTTTTTGCCCTGACCTTGCTCAGAGGGGCTGGTGAGATTTGGGTTTGGGGATGTCTGAGGCACCTTGGCTGTAGTGGGTGCAGGTTGGAGGAGGGAGGAGCAGAGGGGGTGTGTTGGGGAGGGTTTGAGTGCTTTGCTTTGTCTTTGAGCCGTTCCCAGTTGATCGTTCCCAGTTTATTGTGCTGCGATCCCACAGAGGAGGAGAGGAGCTGGCAGAGCAAGGCAGGGGTGCCAATCTCCAGAAAGCCTTGAGGGTGTGTGGTTTGGCTGTGCTGACCCGAGGGGCAGGGCTCCCCTCTCCCCTCTCAGTTTGGTGTGTTGTAGGGACACTGCAGCAGCAGCACCAGAGCTCCCACACACCAAAATTCAACTTCAGACAGGGCCAGTCAGCGACGTCTCAGGGTTTTTTTGTGCTCAGCCATTGCCAGCCCCAGGTCCAACTCCTCTCTGGGCTTCGCTGCCACCCCTGGCCCCACTGGGAGGAGGGAGATGGGCAAGAACCGGCCACAAACTTCCTATCAGTGCCACCTCCGAGCTCTGCTGCCCACAAAACTCCGTCCCCTGGGTGTCCCATCCCAGCCCTGGCACAGCAGATTCATCCCCTCCTGCTACACGTGGTGTCCAAGCAAAAGCTTTGGTTTATATATATATTTTTGTTGGATTGTGTGTACATTTCCAGGAGTTTTGTTTCTTTTTGTTCTGTTTTTGTTGTTGTTCGATACTTGCGAGGTTTTTTGGTTTTTTTTATATATGTGAAAATAAAGTACGGATTCAAAGCTGAGTTGGTGGAGTTTGTTCCCACAGGCAGAAGGGTGGGAAGGGCATTCCATAATCCCATGGAGGTTCCAACAGGATCCATTTATGCCCCTGTGGCTGCTAATAAAACACTAATTACTGCCAGTGCTAATAAATCTGTTCATTCTAATAATAATAAATACAACAATAAAGAAATAATCCTAGTTCTAGGCTGTAATAGGTGATCATACCACTGGATCTTAAAAAATAATATTGTAAATAGAATTTACTATTAGAATTTATTGATTATTGAATTAATAGCTAATATCAGTAGTGTAAGTGCTAATGCATACAGGAGATGATAATAAACACTAATAAACAAATACTAATTAATAAAAAAATATTAATAAAGTTATTAAGCAGCCCATCACTACCCTGAGAGGACAGAGGGCAAATGATGGGTGACACCAAAGTGTCCCTTCTCCTTTGGCCCCAGCTTGTCAGAATTAATTCCTGTGTCCTCATCTCAGCCCTTGATCAATTATTGGAGACTCAAATGACCTAAAGTAACCCCTGTGACCTAAAGTGACCCCAAAATGGGCCTCAAATGACCTCAGATGACCCCAATGACCTAAAGTAACCCCAAAATGGGCCTCAAATGACCTAAAGTAACCCCTGGAAAAATCAAAAAATCTTCAAATGACCTCAAGTAACCCCTATGACCTCAAATGACCCCAATGACCTAAAGTAACCCCGATCAGGGCCTCAAATGACCTCAGATGACCCCAATGACCTCAGGTAACCCCGAAGAGGGCCTCAAATGACCTCAAGTAGCCCCATATCTTAATTTCACCCCAATTACTCTAATTTCACCCCACAGTGGCTCTCTTTTAATAACTTTTTAATAATAACTTGATTATTATTTCTATTTCTTATATCTACTTTATATGTGAAATATGCATATATTGATAGATATGAATAGATATCAACGAGGATTCAATTAATGGATTCAAATATATATAATTATTTTCCTCTCTTTGTTGGTAATACATTTTATTGTTCTATCTTTGTTAATAGTACATTCTAATAACTCTGTTCTAGAATTGTGTGAGATATTTATTTATTGATTGATTTCTATAATTTCCATGCAATAACGTTAAAAGTCTGCAGAATATTCCCATGGATTCCCTTGGATTCTCTTCCTGGGTGGTAACTTCATGTTCTTCTTGGTCCTGATGGATTAGATCCATTTATTCATTGATCCTCTCAGAATATGTTTAATTATTATAATCTTTATATCAATCTTTCCTGGCCTCTGTCAGTGGCCAGAATATAAATTTGAATTTAACAGATAATTGTGGTGATAATTATAAAATAACTGGTCCAAAGTCAGTCTGCAAAGGATCCAGGAGATTGAAATCCTAAAATTTTCTTTTTCCAGGACTCACAGAAGCACCACAACACACACACGTCTGCTACAACAAAGGAAATTTTATTTAAAAATAAAACTTTGTTTTGTTTTCTTTCTTACTGACACAGGTGAATGAAATCCCAAACAAAGAAGCTCTTAGTGGGCAGCATACAAGGATGGAAACAATTAATAAATAACATTAGTATAACCTCTAAACATTAACAATGCATCTGCAAACAAAATGAGGACTTTAAACCAAGTGAACCTTAAAGCTCAGCTACTCTCTGTAAGAATATTTACCTTCTGTTTTTCCTTATTCTTTACAGATCTGAAAGGATTAAATACTGCTATTATAATTTTATATTAATGACACTATTATACTTTTTTTTTTTAAAATATCTCGTGAAAATCTCAACATTTTTTAACACTGATATTTTACAAATTGGTATTTGTCATCCGTGAGAAAGAAAAACAGTAACAGCAATTCTTCCTCCACTGGGAATTTCAAAGAAAAAAGATTTTTAGGAGGAACTTTAAAAATAAATGTCCTTATTCCCCACTAATCTTTAAAGCGGCACCTCTGAGAAGGTGCCCTGGGAGTTGCATTTTTTCTTGCTCAACTGAAAAAAAAAAAAAAAATAAAACGAACAAAACCCCACCAAACCGCCCAAAGAAAGCGCGTTTGCAGTAAGGAGCCTGCCTCAGGATCAGCTCCGGCAGCGGCCCAGCCTGAGCCTGCACAGGAGAGGGGCAGGATTTGGGATTCCTGCTTCGGGACACGGGAAAGCTCCTGGATCCTGCTCAGGGGGGCACCTCCCGCTCCCCACAGCTCCTGCTCCTCTTGGGACTGTTTCCCTCTCCTTTTGGGAGTGTTTCCCTGCTCCTTTCGGGAGTGTTCCCCATTCCTGTTGGGAGTGTTTCCCTCTCCTGCTGGGAGCATTCCCTGCTCCTTTTGGGAATGTTTCCTGCTCCTCTTGGGACTGTTTCCCTCTCCTTTTGGGAGCGTTCCCTGCTCCTTTTGGGAGTGTTCCCAAAAAAACTCCTTTTGGGAGTGCTCCCCACTCCTGTTGGGAATGTTTCCTGCTCTTTTTGGGAGTGTTTCCCACTCCTGTTGGGAGTGTTTCCTGCTCCTGTTGGGAGCATTCCCCACTCCTTTTGGGAGTGCTCCCCACTCCTGTTTTGGGAATGTTTCCTGCTCCTGTTAGAAGTGTTTCTCCTCCTCTTGGGAGTGTTCCTTTCTCCTGCTGGGAGCATTCCACACTCCTGTTGGGAGCATTGGGAGCGTTCCCCACTCTTTTTTGGGAGCATCCCCCACTCCTGTTAGTTGTGTTTCCTGCCCACTCCTGTTGGGAGCATTCCCCACTCCTTTTGGGAGCATTCCCCATTCCTTTTGGAGTGTTTCCCATTCCTTTGGGGACAGCCCCAGCATTTCTGACCCCATCCCACGATCCTGACTTGGCCCCGAGCTCGGCACAGCACCAGTCCAGACACGGCAGCTCCACGGCTGAAATGCTACAAAACACAGTGTCAAGTCCAGCGAGCACTGCCCATCTCTCCTGCTCCTGCTTTTCACCCCATCCCAAAGCAGTTTGGTGCTGCTTGTCCAGCTCTGCTCATCGCCCCAGAGGGGTGGATTCCATCCAGCCTGGCCATGCAGCATCCCCTTAAGAAAGGCACTAGACATTTGGGTTGTTTTTCCTTTTTAAAGTAGCATCAGAAAAGTAATTTTCTTAAGAATAAAGAAGAGGGAGGTCAAGGGAAAGAAGAGCAATCGATCTTGGGCTTAGAAAGAACAAGAAAAATCCACTGGGCAGTGCCTGGATGGAGCTGGCAGAGCACAGCCACAAGACATGGCCAGGACTCTGCTGCCCTCAGTGGAATCAGCAAATTCTTAACGTGTCTAAGGAAGAAAAGGCAAGACTTAATTTTCTTAAATCAGTTTGAGACATAAACAAGTGCACAGAAAGGACACATGCAGAGAAATCAGCGATACATGCCACAAAGATTGCTCTCTCTAATCTCTAATACCCAGAACAACACCCACAGGAACATCTCTTGGCACATAGACCCCAAGGACAGGCCTGGAACAGCTCTGCCAGGCAGGATTTCATGGAAATTACAGCCAGCCTGCCCTGAGGGGCTTGGAGGGGACAGGGAATCACTGGTGCCACACAGGCTGGGCAGGACAAGAGTTAAGGCTTTGGAGCTGGCTGGATCGGCCTGGCTCAGCCATGGCAGGAGTCACACTGAGCTCACACAGCTCCAAACCAACACAGAGACCAGCAGGAGCTGGAAAAGAGGGAAATAAACCCCTCACTGAAGGGTTTGCACCTGCATCTCCAGGACAAGGGACTGTTTGGCTGCTCAGGCTCCTCAGTGTGTCCCCAGGGCTGGCCTGGCTCCTCCAGAGGCTCCCACACATCCCACAGGGAGCAGGGCTGGCACCCCTGGCAGGGGCACAGGAGGAAGAGCAGCTCTTCCTCCCCTCTCCTTGCTTCCCCAGGGCTGCCCAAACAGCAAAGGGGGTCAGGGAGAGTAGCAGGAGATCTCCCCACACTGCCTCAGAGCGTTTTCTCCACCACAGAGAGGAGTAAAGAGACACTTCAGCCTGCCTGCAAGCCACTGCAGCAATTCAGAAAGCTGCAGGGCTAGAGAGAAACGTCAACTTGAATTAAAAAGCCACTTTCTGCTCTGCAAACACTCCTGAAGGCCTCTCTGCCGCTGCAGCCATCTGGCCCAGCCTCTGGATTCCTCAAAAGGCCACACTGCACCGACTGCCAGAATCACTCCAGCAATATTCCAAGCTGCAGCCCTCAGCCCAGTGACCTCTGCTGACCTCAGGGAGATGCAAATAATGCTGGACATGCTCCTAAGGCCAGGAGCCTCTCAGGCTGTGATCTGTCTGTGCCTCCTGGATCTAAATCCTCTCCAAAGGAACCATCCACTCCTCTAATATGAACAGAGTTAAGTAGCTGAGTAGGCAAGTCAGGTTTTTCCAATGCAACAGCTGAGTTCTGACCTTTAAAACCATGTGATCACTTCACAAATACAGAATTTTTTCCCCAGGTCTGTTTTAACAGACCTGGCAATACCTTAGAGAAATGGGAATGGAAAGGAGAGCCCCCATGTTGTTTGGACAGCCATGCAGAGAACTGCTGCACTTCTGTGACTACAAAGCAGGTGAAATTCCAACAAACACATCAGCTGCATCTACCAATTCCACGAAACACCCTGGCACAACGATGGCTCCTGCAAAAGCTCTCTGGAGGAATGTGTGTGAAGGCCACTAGTCTGCAACAGCCACCATGCAATGAAGATAAATAAAACATCCTATTTACCAGGTGCAACATTCCTGGGGAAGAGCAATGGGAGTGTCCAGTGACGGCTGCTCCAGCCCAGCAGGGCCACAAATCACATTTGAGCACTGAAGCACAAAATGCTCAAGGCTAAGAGAGGAGAAGCAGCAGCCTCAGTTCTTTGCTCTTGCTGAAATTCTTTGCCCCCTCTCCCACCCCTCAAAACCATACCAAGCTCCTCCAGCTGCTGGAATCTGGTGCTGTCAGTGCAAGAGCACAAACACACACGAGAAATCCAACTCCCAGCACTGCCAGGACCAAAATCCCTGACAGAAGCTCATCCTGCTACCAGGCAGCAAGGGAGGACTGGAATCAGAAGCAATAACTGCTATTGTTACAGGTGAGAGGGACACACCACAGCCAACAGGAAGCAATCAAAGGATTCTTCCAAGGTCTCCTATAAATTCCCAGCAGAAAGTGACCTCCCAGCTTCTCTAAAAAGCCTGAGCCAGACACACAGCAGCGAACAGATCCAAACCTAGTACCATGAACCACAGGACACACCACACCGACCTCGAGACTTTTGTTTCTCTGAGCATCCACTTAAAATTCACAGCACAAAACAACTCCCCCCAGCCTCCAGGGCATCAGCTCGGGGATTCCTTGTCACCATACCTTTCTCCACCAACACCCTGGAAATAAATCTGTTCTCTCAGACAAGAGGTAGGGGTAAAGGACTCCAAGACACACACTGTATAAAACACCGCTCCGCTCCATCGCACTGCTTTGAAATCTGGAACCACGAAAACCTGATAACTGATTCTCTGAAAGAGGCAGGACTGACCTCAGCACGAAGTCTCTAAAGGAACCCCCTTCCCCTTTGGTGCACAGCTGGGCAAGCAGCTGCCCAGGCAGTTGGTCCACAGCAGCTCAGGCGTGGAGGTGCCCGTGTGCTATGTGGCCACGTGCGCCGGGGAGGAGATGGACACGAACTCCCGCAGAATATTCTTGGCCATCTCAATATTGTTATGTGCAATGACCAGAGCTTTCTGAATGTCCTGATATGAGTAGCCTTGGCTCATGAGGTTCTCGATCTCGCTGGAGAGGTGCAGGGAGGAGCTGGCCCCGCTGCTGGCTCCTCCTGCCTGGCAGCTCCCGGCTTTCCGCTCCGAGTTGATGCGCCGGGGCAGCGGCTTTGGCGGCCGCTCGGGGACCTGGGAGCCCTCCGAGAAACCTGCGAGGAGAAACAAGGGCATCACTCCAACGGAAACACGTGGGAATTTTGTTTGGAACCACAGCAGGGGGATAAATGGCACTTCAAAAAGCTGTCACTGAGCTTTGTCGCTTTCTCCAACCCTTTTATCTTCCTTCCCAAGCTGCTCAGCTTCCCTGCCTGTGTGCAACAACAGCTAGGGAGGTTTTTCTTAATTAGCAAGGCTCATCAGGCTCATTTATTGAGATAAAACCATATAAAAAATGACATAGGACCTATGTGTGTAAGCAGAGCTCAGGTATCAGCCTTAGAATCGGAAGAAATGACCCAGTGAATATTCAATGCACCAGACATCCCATTTCCTCCCAGAATCAGACAGATTTAACTGCCCAGAGACTGCTCCCTCATCTCTGTGTGCACAAACTCAGTCCCAGCTCAGCCACCACAACTGCTTCAGCAACTGAATTATGTTCTCTGAAGGGTCAGCAACTGAATTATGTTCTCCTCTTCCTCTGCCGAAGCTCTCCCTGCCTAATGGCAGATCAATAAAGCTGAGCCTGTTCTGCTTTTCCCTGAGTCATTCTGATGTGACACTGCCCTGCAGCCACATCATGCACTGCTGGGAAGAGGAAATAACAGCCAATAAACCAAACAAGTCACCAAACTCTCCAAGGAAAAAACACATTGTTTAATGTGCTCATCCAGCATCTGATTATTTCTGAGTTTTAACCTCCTCTGTCATTGCAGAAAGCATTTTTTGCCAATCACAGGAAACTTTTCTACATGGATATTTGACATCACCTTAAAGAAAGATTTATTTGTCTCCTGGAAAAAGTCCTCAGGGCACTCCACAGAGTTTTCTGGCAGCAGAACTGGAGTGCAACAGACAAATCACGTCCACACAAGCCCTTTTCAAGAGTGAGCACTGCAGCTTGCTCAGAGAAGCAGCACTGTGGGGCCTTTCTGAAAAACTTGCACCAAAAGCCCCAAGACAGAGAAAGCTCTTCAGGAACCAGATTCCCTGAAGCTTCCTCAGCGACCACAGCTCAGTCCAGCTCCCTCATCTTCAGAATTCAAGTTTCTCACACATAAAAAGCTTTTTGTACGTGTGAGAAAAAGGTCTGCCCACTCCTCTGCCCCAGACTGCCTTCTGGAATGGCTGTTTCAGCGTGAGCTGGATCGAGTTTCAGAGACCTGGGTCAGTCTGAAAGGACAACTGCTAAGACAGTTATTTTGGTAAATCATTAATTAAAACTGCAGGGTCCAGCTCCTGAGAGCATAAATCTGCCAAGATGAATCCCACAGCAGTCAGGCTTGCCTGCACCAGTGCCTTGCTTCCCACAGCAGTAACAATCAGCATTTTCCACATTTTCCATTTTCCTACCCCTAAAGCAGGACAACAGCAGTGTTATTTCAGGGCTGTAGAAACAGAGTGTCAATGATTAAACTCAGTATTTCAGCTGGGAGGAGGGGTGGGACTCGCTCTGTTCCTTTTTTATCCCTTTCAGCCAAACTCTACAGACACAGGGACAAATTTAAAAAGTGAATGGGGAAGTGGGGCAAAAATAATCAACTTTTCTGCACTAGGAAACTCTTCTCTGTGCTAGAGAAGGTCAGGGAAGTGGAATGGAGAAGTAGGAAAATAGAAGACTCAGTGGGGGAAGGGGTTCTGGGTACAGGAGGTTCTGCCTCCAGAAGGAACAAGAAACTCATTCCTCCTCCTTGGCAAATCACCAGCACATTCAGACTGAAAAACCCCAACAGGAAGAGTTTCAGAGCTTCCCTAAGAGCTGCTTAGCAGGGAATAAGTCAATTATTATTCAGAAAGGCTCCAGGAGACACGAGGCTTTAGTTTTTCCCTCGGAGAATGTGCCTTGCAGCCAGAAGGACACGATGTCCTCCATTCCCCAGGGACAAAAAATTGACCTGGCTGAGCCCCTGGTCCCTGCTCAGAGGAGCTGGAGCAGCAGGAGCAGTGTGCAGAACACTTGTGCCATCTGCAGGCACTGGCAGAGCCACAAACCCTGCCAGGCCAGCCCTGCATCTCCCACTTGGCACAGGGACACGATCCCTGAATGGTCTGGGCTGGAAGGGATCTCTAAAGTCCTTCACCCCCTGCCATGGGCAGAGACACCTTCCACTATCTCAGGGTGCTCCAACCCTAAATCCAACCTGACCGTGGGCACTTCCAGGGATGGGAAATCCCATCTCACACCCCAGTACACCATGGTACAAAAACAGTCTATGCATTGTACAAAACAGTGGCTTAAGAAATATACTTTAAGCTGATAAAAGCTTTTCCTAACTGAGATTTCAGTGTGATTTGCAAGCTCGGGGATTAAACATCCAAGGCAGCACATTCCAAACTATAAATCAAACAAAAGCTAAAATAAATCGAACAAAAGCTAAAATAAACCAAACAAAATACCTACGAACCGGTACAATTCTGCCTCATAAACCTGATTTTACACCTCTACAACCAAAACCTTCAGTTTCAAGGAGGCAGAGCCAGGCAGCAGCAGCAGGGAGAGAGAGGAGAGCTCTCAGACCTGTGGCAGGGTCGTTTTCCAAGGACATGCGGCTGAAGGCAGGGGTGGCATTGGAGATATCGGAGAGCGTGCGGCGCGCGCTGGCCACGGGCAGCGGTGGCTTGGGGACATCATAGCCGTCCTCCTCGTTCTCTGACTCCTCGGGGCCGTTGCTGGCACTGCCTGCTGCCAGGTTCCCCTCATCTGCAAGAGGAGGCACGTTCTGAGCTCTGGGGCTGAGCTGTCTCTCAAGGCAAACTCAGCTCCCCCGTTTTCCAAACGCTGACAGGACACAGAACTAAAGTTTTGCTGTTAAAACCTCACATTTAATGGCAGTTCTTTGCAGAAGGGAAAATTAAGTTAAAAATATTTGATAGATGCAGGTGCATGCACAGACTCATGCTTCCACATACATCCCTGTGGGTCTCAGATTCAGTCAAAGAGAGAAATGAAAAATTTCTAGCTAGGCAGAAGCCTGAAAAAAAACTAGAGAAAAATGTAAATAATTCTTTATCTCTCTTGTTATTCACATTGTTTATAGTTAAGTTCTATCACTGTGCATCAAGCACTTTGCACCAATAGTGTAGATTATTTTCACTTCAGGACCAATGGAGTTGGAATTACCTCACAGAGCTCTGTATAAAAGAGCAGTGTATTTTGAATAAATGGGAGTTTTACTCCCAGTTTATTTTCCATTGGTCCATTGGAGTTGGTCCTCACGAAGCTCTGTATATAAGAGCAGTGTATTTTGAATAAATCTGAGTTTTACTCTCAGCAGCCTTCTGATCAGACCTTCTCATTCCCGTCCTGCCTCGACAGCAACACATCCCAGCTATTTTAATAACAAAAACAAATGTATTTCCTTTAATTCAGCCTAAAATGCTGTTCCACTGGGAGCAGTTGATGGTAGCCCAGTTCCTCAGCTGTTTTTTAGCACACCCACTCACCAGAAGTGGTGACAGCCTCGAAAGCAGAGGATGCTGCTTGGGAGTGAATGTTGTACATTGCTTCATACATGGAGCCCTCGGGCTGCTGGTCACAGTCCAAAACTCTGAGGGAGAGAAGACATTCCCCATCACACAGGTGGCCACCACCTCCACCCTGTCTCTGTGACAGAGTCTGTGCACAGCTTCTTGTTTTAAGGTGAAACCACCACTGCTCTGTGAAATGTTTGTTCTAGAAAATGCACTGTTAATGTTTATTGCAGTACAGCATCTCAGCTTAAAAGAGTTAAAATGATACCACCAAATCTAATACCACCAAAAATTATATTTTAATTAGAGTTTTGAATTTCAGTTGTTTCTGCTCTCAAAAGGTTCTTGGCAGATAGAGTGGGAAGGAAGGGGATATCTGAGTCCTTTAATACTGTACAAGGACTCTGCACAAGAGCAGTGGTCACATTTCCTTTATTGCTATTTTAGTCAAGATCTGGTGAATATCACCGGGGGAATTCAGAAATCTGAGCAAGCAAAATTCCCACCCTGATGTCCCAAATGTGCTGCCCCAGAGCTGGGAAGAAGAAGTGCAAAACCAGCCAGGATCTCACCGTAAACTCTGAGTCATTTCCAAAGGCATTTTGAGCTCTGGTTTTTGCACAGCAGGACCTGGAGGCACCACAGGCAGGGAGGATGGTGACATGTATTCCGTGTCCTCATCGCTCTCAGACTGCTCCCCAGGAGGCAGTTTTGGTACAGGCAGTGGTCTGGAGGCAGGAGAAACAAGATATAAAACATTTACACCAAATCTAATTAATACCAAGGTGCCCTTTAAAATCCACAGTCCCCCCACAGCAAGTCTGTCTGAAGAAATAATTTGGTTTTCAGGAGCCCACAAGGTCAAACCAGCACAAGGTTATGATGCAAAAGGAAGTGACAATATCATGCACACTTACATCGCAAAAAATCCCACTCAAAAATTAATTTATTAAAGAGCTGATGGCGACTGGAGCCTGATTCCTACTGCCACAGCCCAGGGGAACTCCCACCATTCCCCACAGCTCTTTGGTCTCAGCTGCTTTCTCTAAATTGTGTTTTGAACCTGTCAGAGTTTAAAACTAAGACTGGAAGAGTTGTGCCAGTTCTGTCCCTGGCACCAGCACCCTGCAATTCCCACTCTGTAAGGTACAAAAATCCCAACAGACCTGGCAGCTAAGGAGTAGATGGCATTGGCAGACGAGGAGGGTTTGATTTTGGGGTGTTCACACTCTGAGGTTGCTGCTGGACCACTGCTGGAGCTCTGGAAGACAAAATTCCAAACCAGGGATCAGAAACAATGCATGGCCCAGTGTAGCTGCAAAGCCACTCCTTCAACAGCCTCTGTGGGAATGAAGCATCCTCATTTCTTCCACAGAATTTACTGACACCTCAGAAATCCAGGAATTCCCTGATAGCTTTCTCTCACAGTGAGGATATTGCAGGGGTTTTCCTGCAGGAGAAACTTCACGTTTTGAGGTTCCAATGGCCTTGGCAAATTCAGCTGAAACAGGCCAAAATGGGAGCCAAGAGGAAAAGGATGCAGACAAGCACACACAATTGGAGACACGATAACAACCATGCATGTGCCATTTTCTTAGAAAAACTGGCTAAAAATGTGCTTGCTTTCAATTTTAGAAAGCTGGAAGCGTTAGAAGGAAAAATTAAGGAAATGGAATCAAGGAAAATGAAACTGCCTGCCATTTCCTTTAGAGAACAAAATGTTGGATTTATCAGTTCACTGCTAACAGTGTCCTGCAGGTGAACAGACCCCAAACTGATACCAGATTTTATCCAGTCAAACTCCTCACTGGAGATGTGGCAGTTTTCTCAGGGCTGAAAAGCCAGCAGAGTAAACCAGACTTTTTCAGAGAACACTCTCAGCACTTTTCAACACTGAAAGATTCAACACTCAACGTTCTTTTCAACACTGAAAGGTGAACACTGAAAGGTGAACAATGAAAGGTGAACAACGATCAGGCAATTGGGATTATATTGGTGGGTTTCCTTTGGATCTTAGTGGTCCTTTCCCCCTGAACCACATCCTAGTGCTCAGCAGAGCAACCCCACCATGACGATATAAATCTGAATGTGAGGAAGGTACTCAAATTTAACCCTTGCCTGGAAGAGCTAACTTTCAGGAGCATCATGGATATGTTATGGGAGGATGCCAGGACACTATGTCTCTTTTTGTCATCTCCATATTCATCAGCAATCTACAGCACAGGATGTGAAATAAGTTTTGAGCAAGGTTAGCTCTTTTCATACACCATAGTAATGTGGAGTTAATAAACTGAACTATTTTTTCAGACGGGATTTCAACTTTGTTCCCAAAAGGAACGAAAGCACTTCCCTTGCCTGGAATTCACCAGCTTCTTTCCACCTCTGCCATGACAAAATCCCACTCCTGCCTTTTCCCCCAGCTCACCTCCAGCCCCAGCACACCTACTCACCGCGGGGCCGTCCAGGCTGAGCGTGCTGCCGAGCCTGGACTCCAGCTGGGAGGGCAGCGAGAAAGGCAGCGAGTGGCGGTTGGAGAGCTCCCTGCCAGCCCAGGGCTCCGCGGTGCCCACGGCCGGCGCTTTGGGCATCGGCCTGCCCGGCCAGGGCTCGCCCTGCCGGCCCGAGGGCAGCGGGGGCGGCTTGTCCCTGGTGGGACAGTCCCCCGGCGTGCAGGGCAGGGGCCGGCGCTGCGGGCGGCCCTCGCTGGTGCCCAGGCTGGTGCCCAGGCTGGTGCCCAGGGAGGTGCCCAGCGCGTGCGGCCGGTCCGGGGGCGGCGGCGGGGGCAGGTCCCGGAGCGTGGGGGGGATCGGCAGAGGTTTGTCCTTGTGCAGAGCACCTGGAGCAGCCTGTGGGGAGGAGGGATCAGCTTAACACAGGCAGCAGGGAGAGCTTTGGGGTGGTTTTATCTGTTTTTACAGATTTATCTGTTTTTACAAGGAATTATCTCTGAGAATGCGGAGATATCGCCGCACCTTCTGCACAGGCTTGAGGAGATAACACAGGAACTACGTGCATTCCAGCCAGGCTCTGAACACCCCAGATTCCTCTTCTTGAGGGAAAACATGAGCTTACAGCAGCTTTAGATTGGAATCCAAACAGAGCCTCCCCATTATTTTAAAAAATGATTCAATTGTGGGTTATTGGTACAAGTTAACATTCATCAGTCAGTGATGAGTATTCACAGAAATAGATATTTTCTTCTGCCTGAACTTCTCTAATTTCATTATTTCATCTCAAGCAGATGAAGAACTGCTGCTGCATTTCAAGAACCTGATGGAGTCCTGATGGAGTAAAAATTCAACTTATAATCATAAACCAAGCTGTTCTGATGGAGTAATGAAAATGGAACTTAGAATCACAAACCAAGTTGTCTTGATGGAGCAGTGAAAATGCAACTTAGAAACACAAACTAAGCTGTCCTAATACAGTAACAAAAATTGGTTAACTCAATGCCACCAACATTATCCTACTGCCTTCTGCTGATCAGTCAGAAAGCCAGTTCATTTCTCCCAGTCACATACATTGAATTCCTTCCTTCATTTTCTGCTTAATGTAAAATATGTGTGCAGAAAAGTTGGGGGAGAGAAATATGATACCTTCTGTATCAGCTAGAACAAAATATGAGGAAAATCCAAAGGGAGCAGGGATTGAGGCTGAAAACCAGAGAATGTGATATCAGTAATAATAATTTGGTAGTTCGGGATGCCAGACAGAGAAACAAGAAAGCACTTGGGGATGTCAGAGAGAACGTGTTGGGGTGCCAGACTGTTCTGCCCCACTCAAATCCCACTGAAGAGCTGTGTCTGACCTTGGAAGTGGTGCCAGGGCTGGAGGCCCCGGGGGGGTTGGCCACTCGCTGCTGCAGCAGGTCCAGGCGGGGCGGCACGGGCGGGAGGGCGGCCTGAGGAGCCAGCGAGAAGGGCGAGGGAGGGCGTTCCACCTGAGAGGAGAACACCAGCACACGGCTCAGCCACAGCTTCCCGTCCTCTGGAGAGCCTCTCCAGCTACAGATGGCTCTGTGAGTACCAGCTGGCCTCCAGGAAGGAAGGCAGTGCCCAGCACTGCAGTGCTTGGAGCAATGCAAGCTTGGCTGTGAGACACCCCTGAAATGCACACTTAGAAACTCAAATCAAGGTGTCCTGATGGAGTAAAAATTCAACTTATAATCATAAACCAAGCTGTCCTAATACAGTAACAAAAATGCAACTCAGAATCATAAACCAAGCTGTCCTGATAGAGTAACGAAAGTGCAATTTAGGAACATAAACCAAGGTGCCCTGATGAAATAACAAAAATGCACTTTCAAAACACAAACCAAGTTGTCCTGATGAAGTAGTGAAAATGCAACTTAGAAACACAAACCAAGCTGTCCTGATGGAATAAAAATGCAACTTATAATCATAAACCAAGTTGTCCTGATGGAGTAACAAAAATGGAACTTAGAATCACAAACCAAGCTGTCCTGATGGAGAAATGAAAATGGAATTTAGAACCATAAACCAAGGTGCCCTGATGGAGTACCAAACCTGAGCAGGGACAAGCTGCTTTTCAACACCAGAGGGCACGATCTGCTGCAAAGCCTCCTGTCCCTGCAAACTGCTTTCACCACAGAGCACTGGTGTGCACCAAGCCCTCCATTTCTGTCTCTGGAAAGCTGGTTTTCCACTTAACAAAGCAGCACAGTGCTTGTTATTCTCTTTATTTTCTCTTTTTTTACAATCAAAGTTAGTGCTGTTTAATTTTGAAAAGCTTCATGTACGTTTGAGCTCACTAAAGCCAACAAATTACCAACACTGACAGGATGTCACACCAAGAAAATTGCTTTGCTTCCCCAAAATATGTATAAAAAGCCCTCCAGGAACAGTGTTTACTGATTAGTACATTATTTCACAGGATGGAAGATAAAGGGAAAAAAGACTCCAGGTAAACCAGAGGTGAAGATTCTTTCTGACTATGAAATGCAGCTTTTTTTAGTTGATTCAGCTATTAAAAATTAGCCAAATTCAAACCCACCTCCCTATGCAGTAAAAAAATGCAAGAGCAGCAATCAGATTTTTGAAATGAGAAATTAAAATTAACTAAAAATGCCATGTAAGGATCCACAAAGAATGCCTGTACACAGCTCCTGGAGGGAAGCAGCACTAATGGCAGAGTTATCACATCTTTTAGACAGTTTTATCAGCCACCATATAAAAAGATGACAGCCAAATTGAGTTCCTCAGCAGAACAGCATTCCCTCTACCCTGTTATTTATCAGGACCTTGGGAAGGCTGTACCTGCCTGGCTGTATCCATCACTGGGGAAAAATGGATGAATTTCTGCTGATCTGGGTGAATTCTGGCTTGGAAATCAAAATTTAACATACAGAGGAGTGTTCCAAACCCAAATGTTCCATTCCAATAGGTCAGGCCAGCATTTTCACCCCTCTGGGGATTCCTCCAAGACAACACACAAATCATCAAAGGCTTCAAAGTGTGATCCCAAAGTAGCAGTGTGAAGTGAGCTCACAAAACTGGACCTAAATCCTTGTTTTCCACAGGGAGCAGGATCTTTACTGTTACACAGTCTGACAAACCTCACAGGCACCAATCACTAAGAGAAAACTGCTGCAGAAAAGGCATTGCCACATTTATCAGCAACCTTACTTTGGTACCAGCCAGCTCTTTCATCATGAAGAGGGAATCATCAGCTTTGTCATCATCATCATCATCATAATTGGGAGAGGGGGTTCCTTCTGCCCCTTGCCTGGACAATCCTCCTCCTCCTCTGGGATCAAAAGGATCCACCACGATTGGCTCCGTGCCTTTGATCTCGCAGCGGCAGAAGGGACAGCCTTGGCCTTCAGATTCCTGCAGGGGACAGGAGAGATCTGTCACAGCAGCCTTTGGGGAGCACAATTAGCACCTGCTTCATCAACAACCGTGGGAATCCAGAGCTTCCCTCTGGCTGCCCTGGCAGGGGTCAGGAACCCCCTGGACAGAGCCCCCAGAGACACTGGCTGTGATCTCTGTCCATGGAAAAGAGTTTTCAATCTTACAGGATCAATTACAAGCTCTGAGTGTTTGATATAAGGAATAATTAAGTGTGGCACGGGTGCAAAAGTAAAATTTTAGGATTCTAGATGAGGGGTCCAAAGGGGACAAGATGGAGGAAATTGGGTGTGCCTTGTCCTTTTTCTCCTTCTTCATGCCCTCCATGTTTCACTGTGGTGTTGGCATTTTTCTGTTGGTTCAGGCTGGGGACACACTGTCCAACGCAGGTGACAGATATTGGCACGTTATTGTAAATCCAGCACAGGTAGTTTGTGGTATTTAATGTTTGTACCATCCCACTGAGGGCAGAGCCCCACACGCTGCCCTGCAGGACAGAGCTGCGGCAGGGCAGCAGAACATGTTAGAGATAAACAGAATAAACAACCTTGAAACCAGCACAGACCAATTATGGCTTCTGCTTTGGCAGCGGGGCTGACAGACAGAGACTTTCTACAACCTCAGAATCATCAATACCTCAGATTCCAACAAACAACCAGCTTTTAACCAGGTGAGCTTTCAATTGAGAGGAACACAAAGGGAAACTGGGCTATAAATGTGGAATATTTTCTCCTTGAAGCAGAAAAACAGCACTTTAGGAAGTATTTACAGTTTTTCCTTATTTCCGTATTAAGAGGTCAGGCATCTAAACAGCTCGTGATGCTGTGCCATTATAAGACAATGTTTCTGATATATTCTCTCCACATCTGAACAGTTCTGAGAAGAGAATATACCTGTAAAAGGTATTCTGTATAAGAATCTGTAAGCTATCTGTAAAAGAAGAGAATACCTGTAAAAGATCAAGCAGCTGCCCTCAGAGAGATAAAGAAGAGGCCAAGGCTCACCTGCCAGGCTGTGAGACAGGAGGTGCACATCAGGTGCCCACAAGGTTCAATCTTCACATCCTTGTCGTTCTCAGCACAGATTTTACACAGCTGGAACGTGGAGCCCATCTCGCAGTACAGCTCATATTGTTCCTGAGGGAAAGGCAGCATAAAGCACAGGGACAACAGAAATATGCAAAGATTTTACCATCACTTTACGGGCTAGATGCATCTGTCAAGCTATCTTTTAAGCATCCCAAGAAAAGCAGGGTCCAAGCATCAATTCTAAATATAAATCCTTAAAATCTGTCTTTGCAATCTCATCTGCCCATCCCTATCACGCAAGGATTTCTGAATTCCTGTAAAATACTGCAGCCCTGAAAACAAGTCTTGGGAATACCAAGTATGACAGAACTGGATGAAGAGCTAAGGAGGGTAGAAATCAGGGAGAAAGGCAGGGAGCTGGATGGAATGGAATATTTTACTCACCTGTGTAACTTTAATGTGGTCCTGAGGTGTGGGCTCACACAAGCCAGTCAAGTCAGGATTCTGATTCCGGCCATCAGGAAATAAATAACTGGAAGAAGTTGGGAAAAAAAATATCTCTACATGTGCCTGCACACAAATGTTTACACACACAGATCTAGGATTTGTTTTGGATATGGGAAGGGAAGAAACAATGAAGGCTGGAAGTCAAGGTATTCTGAATTCTAAAGTTTTATGATTGGACCAAAATTAAACACTTTATTCTTAAAAGTATTGGTTCAAATTAAGGGTTTGACAAAAAAAAAAAAAAAAAAGGGGATTTATGAGAAGGGAAACACTGGGGCACATTTATCATCTGCTACTGCACAGCTCTACAGTGCAAAGACAGCTGTCAGTAATTCCTGAGTGCCAAAATAGTTCAGCAATGACTTATTCCACTGACAGCAATGGGGCTATTCAAATTTTAACTGCTTTGTTGTCCTAATTTTTACAAAGTTACTTACAAGCCTTCCCTGAAGCCATCGATCAGTGCTTGGAAAAGAGGTTTGTTGTGGGGGATTGTCTGGAGAATGTTCCCATCTGCAGTGACGTAGCCGATGGCCCACTGACCCAGGCGGGTACAGCTCAGGCGGAAAATGTAACTAAAAACACACAAAGGAAAAGAAACCTCCGCTTGGAACAGACAGAAAAGATTCAATGACAAGCTGGCAACCTTTGTCTGGCCATATCAAGACAGCAAATAAAATTAGTAGGAATAACTTGATGATTTGTAGCAGCTTTCTTCAACTGAGGCCCAGGCAGTTCAAAGGGGAACTTTGCAATATGATACAAAATGAGAAAAGAACCCAAGCACTGGCCTCCATGTGAAATTAAACCCAGAATCCAGAGCAAGAGGAGTTAACAGCCTTAAAATCATATTTGTTTCAAATCAACTTTGAAAAACCCAACAAACAAACAGACTACAGGAAGTTTCCATGTTTAAAAGCAGCCCAGAAGTAACCACACAAGCTGCAGAGAGGAACACAGAGAATTTGTCAGCCCTGCTGCAACTGGTGGTGGCAGCCAGAACCTCCCTGCTGGCTGAGCTCTCTCACCTGCCAGGTTTGTGAATGAATTTCTGAAGTCTGGCCTTCACCTCGTCATAGGTGAGGAATGCCATATACCCAGGGTGAGTCACTGCCAGGCTGTTCCAGTTCCTCAGCAAGGATGACCAGGGCTGGGGAAGCACCAAAGAAACAAATTAACCACACACTTCTGGAAAGAGTCGATATTCCTGAATCAAAGTGCTCTTCAGTTCGAGAAACATGTTTCTGTTCCACCACAAATCCAGTAGAGAAACCAAAATATTCATTCCCATGCTGCACTTGGCATTTGAGTTTGTTGCTTGTTGGGGATAAAATTATCACCTAAGACAGACCTTAATCAAAACTCCTTTAATAAATACAAAAGGAGAAATCACTGAGCTTAAGAATAGCCATCAATTGTGCTGCTTCTGCAGAGAGAATGACTCATTCCCCAGACAGGGATAAAGGCAGGAGTTTAATGAGATTATGCACAGGCTCCATGACTGTTCTGCTCTCCAACACCGACTTCCTGCATGGCCTGGGGACAGTGACCTTCCCTCTGTGTCTCAGTTTCCCTGTCTGTAACTTGTGACTCTTCCTCACCAACCCAACCTCACCCGGGTGTGGCAAGGACTGCGGCTGGTCTCAGATCTGAATGAAGAAACCAGCACATACATCTCAAATACTGCTTAAAATGATGCCCCAAAAGTCATAACAACCATTTGAAATCTCTCAGTCCTGAGAAGGGTTTGGGTGTGTCAACCCCGCCTGATTTTTCCAAGTTTTTAGACTCGTCTACAGGAAGGTATCAGCATTCCCTAAGAACTCTGCATCCCCTGGAATTTGCAGCAGCTCTTGACTTGTTCTTTATGTACACCACTTGGAAAAAGTGCTGAATGAGATCAGCTACATTGCAACACCAAACATGGGAATTTTTCATCTAGACATATCTTAATTGCAACCCACCCCATCACATGGGAAAAGGCAAGTCAGAGCCAAAGAAGTAAGTGATTGTTCTTGTAAATACCCAATTGTACCATCAGAAGTTGTGTTTTTGAATTTAGCACTGTTAGAGACTGGGAGGGGGGGAAGAATTTTACCTACTGTTAATATCCCTTCAGTGATACAGAGATTTCTCACACACACAGACACGTTCACAACATCCTGGTTGGGGCAGTTCAAAAGCTAGGAAGCCCAAATTTCCATGCTCGAGCTCCATCCTGAACAACCCCCCTCCATGGAAAATAAATCTGACAATAAAGAAAGGGACGAGGGAAGACAGAGTGATAAACTAAGCTTCACATTTCCTGGCTTGCAGAAGCTGTGTCAGAGCTTCAGTCTCAAAGTGACCTTTGAAAGAGAAAACCTGATTCATGGCAGGATGCTGAATGTGCCTGGGAGTTGCAGTGTATATTTATGGATTTTTTTTTATTCTACAGCCAGAAATATCACCCACTTTTACTGCAGTATGGGGTCTTAAGTATTACTCTTTAAGGGATGGAGGGCAAGACAAGCAAATCCCATACAAATAATGTCTGTGAAATACTGGATAAAGAAGAGTATAAGCTGAGGCACTGAGAGAGTTCAAGTGATTCCCACTCCTGAGTTCTCACCTGGAAGAGTCGTGTGAAGATGTCAAACTCAAACACTGAGATGTAGTCATTGCACGTCAGGTCGATGGTTGACTTCAGGGCCATGGCCTCCAGGCCTGAGCTGATGGGATGCACCTCGTGCAGGGCCTGGCGGAAGCTTTTCCAAGGAACAATGGTCCTGGGGAAAAGCAGGGAATGGGAAATGGCTGAGCACCACCACCACCATCAACACACCTCCACGTTCTCTTTGTCAGGATCCATGTTGTGATAACAGAACAGACAAAAATCAGATTTATTCACTTCACGCAAACACAGATTTCTTGGTACCGCAGGAAACCAGCAGTCAAATGAATTTAAGGCAATTTCTTCTAATTTTTGGAATTAGAAGCCCCCCTCTGGTTTCTCTTTTCCCTATTTCTGCAGTCCTACCACAGCATCACTTGATAAGAATTTCATAATGCTGCAGCTGGTAGAGGAGAAGTTAAGTCTAGATGGTTTAAAAAAAAAAAGCTGCAACCAACTCTCTAAAGAAGAATTAACTGGAGAAGGAAGAGAATCACAAGCCAAGACACAGGCTCCTGTTTAAAGGAATATTTTCCCTTTAAAAATAAATCAAGTGGCATAGAAACACAGAAAGAAAATGCCTCACTTCAGACAACTGTGCTATTCATGAGTAAATACATTATGGCTTTTTGTTCTGACAGCTACTAATTAAACTCTTTAGGTGAAGTACCTCAGCTCCCTCAGTTTGAAAGCAGTACCCAAACCATTCACTTTAATCCCCAAACATTGCTGTGAACACCTCCATGGTTCATTTAGCCAGTGTTTCGTTAGATACAGAAATTAAACCTGACATTTCAGCAGTCTGCACACAAAGATTGTTGCATTTCCCTTTCCCCTTCACTCTTAGCAAAGCCATTTTGCAAACAGAAATTCAGAGGAGAAGAAAAGAGGTGAGTAAATGATTGGAAAGACTAACTGGAGGGAAGATGAAAAGAATATAAAATGATGGCTTAGCTAAAGAACAACCCATGTTGGGGGCATGGTAACCTTTGGAAGAACAAAGGATTCTTTTGCATGGCTTGTAGAGCTTACTTAAAAGTTAAAAAATTAAATCGAGGAGAGGAAAATTTAAGCTTAATAATCAAGAGAAACACTGTGACAATACAAGAGTCTCCTGGGGAAACTAGGGAAAGATTCATCACTTGACAGATTTAAAACCAGACAGGACAAAAACTGGGAAATTTAATGTAGGAATAATTCCTTACCTCACCCCAGAGATGACCAGTAGGTCTCGCCCATCATTTATTTTAACCTGACAAAGCCCCTCCTGAAGGGCCAAACAGAATTTTTAAAAAGCACTGGGTGCAATTTGCTCCCCCACTTCTATTTTTAAGCACAGTTAGAAACTTACTTTTCACCAAAAGCCTTTCTCCAAAATTCTGCAGCATCTGCCTTGGTGATCCGGAACGTGTCCCCCTGGAAGAGGCCACTGGGGAAAATCCCTTTGAGTTCTGCCAGCATGTGGCTGAATATCAGGGACAGTTTGGTCAGGTTCCTCCTGCAAAAGACCACAACATTTGTTTATTTTAGGAAAAAAAAGAGTTGAGCACTCTGAGCAAAGCAGAACCAGCACTTATTGCAATTCAAGAATGATCCCAGCATGCAAAACTCTTATTTGGGGCTCTCTTTCAAGTGTTTTCCAGCATTTAGAACATCCAAAACATGGGAACTATCAGCAAGGTCTTTGTCAAGACATTTTCCACAATGATGAACTCTGTAAAATCTCTTTAAGGTGGGCAGGTAAAAATCCTCCCATGGAAAAATACATTCACAGAAAATGTGCAAAACCAATACTCAGACCTCACCTACTGAGTGTTGAAGACAAAACCTCATCAGCCTTGGGTCTGAAAACTCCTTTTGAGAGCACATAAAGCTCCTCCTGCCCCAGACAATGGAAGCTGAATCCCTGTCCAGGTCTCCAGAGGCTCCCAACACAATAGATGTGCTCAGGGAATCTCTAACTGATCTTAACAGGCCCAAGCTCCCAAGGGAATGCAAAAAACACCTGCAGGTTTTTCCTGAAATGGTCACAACTTACACACAAAAGCTCTCAAACATATTGTGTTTAATTATCCAATTTGAATTACAGCTCAACTCCCTTCTCTGCCTGATGGCACTGAGACATCAGGAGTGCTCTATCCCACGGGATTTGCTTTTTTAAGTGGGAAAAGAGAATAGATATTTTCTGCTATTCTGTTCACCAGATGCACCTCTCTCTCTTCTCACTCTTTTATCCAAATAAATATTCCAAATATTCTCTTCCACTCCATTGCTAGGAAAACTTCCTGAAAACAGACAAGGATATTTCTAAGCCAGAGGGGTTTTTTTCACCTCCACATCACATGCTTGAAGGTAAAAGAAGGAACTGGTATCAAGTGGGGAAGAACAACTTATGAGCTGTGCCCAACACACCAGAAACCTGCATCAAGCACCCAGGCATGGCACAGACTCCTATGGCACTGATTATTTAAATATTGAACCACACAGGGAGGGAACATCCCCAGCACATTGGATTTTCTTCTTTTCCCATCTCTCTCCCTGAGTTTGTTGCTGTTGCAGGAGACCAGGGCAGTAAACTCCACTCCCCCAGCTCCAGCCCTTCACCAGTTTTGGTGCTCTGGTTGGATTGGTTCCTTTTCCCTTGGATGTTTTTCAGATACCCCTTGCTCCAAACATGCTATGGCCACTTGAAGGACTCACCCTGTTCATGTGCCTGATTGCAGAACTGACCTCCAGCCTTCCCATAAAAATTCCCTGGATATTTGGGACATTTCCCATATTTTCACAGGGTCTAGACTGAATTGGAAGTGACCATATTGCTTGATATATATTCTAGTATTTCCTCAGCCCCTCATGAGCCCTTTCTGCATACCCTGACAGTCTGGGTGGATTAGAAGGGCCCAAAACTCTAAATTTTCTGTGACAGCAGTTCTGTCTTACCCTTCTTTATTCAGCTGCATCTTAATTTGTGTGCAGCAATGAAAGCTGCTCAAAGTGTTTATGGAAAACACCAGCTACACAAAGAATTCTGTTTTTTGTCATTTCATACATGTCCAACAACAGCAGGTGCTTGGGACTAACACAAGGAAAAACCCCCAGCTGCTCTTCCACGAGCTGTCCCATTCCCCAGCTGTCTCTGGATGTGTCACACTCTCAAACTGGGTATTTTAAAGCAGTTTTACAGATTGGGTTTGGCACGTTAAGTAATTCCAAGCCATGTATTTCTCTTTGCATTTCCGAGGGGAAGGCTCAGATTCTGAGCCCATGGTACAGGGAAGATGATTTAACTGCAAATTCACACCCCAGTTCCCTCCTCCCTCGTGGAGATTCCCACCATGTCCCTGCAATGCCTTTTTCTGATAAACACTAGAAAAAATGTAAATCAGAGGTGTGGAATTCTGAAAGCACTCACTCCCATAAAATGGCAAAAAAAAAAAAAATAGGACAGTTTGTGTTAGTGCAAGAAGAAAAAGCAAACACCAGGCTGTTATCAATCATTTAATCCATCTACAACCTGAGCAAAAAAATATGGGCTTTATTTTAAAACTGAGTTTATAAAAATACAGGCTTTAATAAACCTGCTAATAATTTTGTACCAAACTGCTGCCCAGCACAATGTGGGGAAATCTGGGTATGACAGAAAAGCACTTTGGTGCATTTCTGACCCTGAACAAGTGCATGGTTTAAATAAAACACTGCAAGAAGCCAGGGAATATTCCTGTGCCCAGTTGTTTATCTCTTCTGCCTCAGCTGAGCTCCAGGAAGTGCTTGCACTCAGCTGAGCACATCAGTTAATGAGAGAAATAAGAACTTCCTCAGGCTCAAGGATGGATAAACAAATGGTTTTACACACACATTGAAGGACTCTGTTTCCAAAAGCATTTTGGATCGCTGAACATTTTAAATTCTCAAGGTTATCAATTTTTTTATAACCATTCAGCTATATTGGAGGTAAATAACAGGAAAAAACACAGGAAGTGAACATAAAGAGCAGTAAATTGCAAAATAGTTTGTGTTACTGTCTTTTACATACAGCAGTTACCAAGGCTATGGTAAAAGCACAAACATTCTTTATTTTAACAATTTACATATTTGTAAATTTATACAGACCAAATAAACACTTGTAATTCTAGAGAATATTTTTATTGGCATGTCAAAGCTTACTGATGATTGTGTTTTATTTTTAGTAACATCAGAATTGTCCTTATTGCTATTGCTTCAACTAAACAGATGTGAATTACTCTCAGAAAAAGGGGCACGTATTCAAAGAACATTTATGGGTCTTAGACTGGAGATTCCCAAAGAGTTTTGGCTACAGACCTCCAAAATTATCCCACGATGGCCATTTTTCAGAATTTCACCTAAACGCAGTAATGCACATAAAACTGTCACCAAGGGCTCCACCAGAGACAAGTTACATGTTAAAGAACTAAATGTTACAAGTTAAAATTAAATCTTAAAAGTATGAATTCATGAATTTAATTCTTGAATTAAATCTTACAAGTTAAAGAATGAAATGCAGTTTGAAATGCAGTTTGAAATGCAGTTTGAAATGCAGTTTGAAATGCAGTTTGAAATGCAGTTTGAAATGCAGAACGAAATGCAGTACGAAATGCAGAACGAAATGCAGAACGAAATACAGTTTGAAATGCAGAACAAAATGCAGAACAAAATGCAGAACAAAATGCAGAACAAAATGCAGAACAAAATGCAGAACGAAATGCAGAACAAAATGCAGAACAAAATGCAGAATGAAAGCCCAGTTTGGGAAGAGCTGACTGCAGCACCAAAATTCTGCTGCTGGGGAATTTAAACACCTGAAAACGTTATCCAGAGCTCAGGCCACATCACAGAGTTGTCCCCAGAGTGTGCAGGCAGCTGCAGGCAACACCTGCACCAGCTTCAAAGAACCAGAGGCTGCCTCTGTTCTGTGCTCACAGCACCAGCTGAGGTGGGATTTCACAGCCCCGAGTGCTTTCACACGTACGTGCAAAGCTTTCGGTTTATTATGGTTGGAAATAACGAATCAACAAGTGAAAACGTCAAAAGATAAATATTTTTTCCACTGTATACAGCAGCCAAGTGTTTCACACGTGGTGAGGAACACCTGGAGCGTGGAGGGATCAGTGCTTGTGCACCCAGAGCGAGCTGGGAATTGGTTCTGGATGGGTCAGACATGGCTCAGCACCCTCCAAGCTCTGAATTTTGGGGAACCAAAACCAGCATGAAGCAAGAGTGTTCCTTCAGTTACCCCATGCCAGGTTCCCCCTCCTTCCTGCTCCGAGCCCCCTCTGCTGTGGTTCTGCTCTTCCTCCCTGCCCCAGGACGGGTCTGGCTTTGCTCCACACATTCCTGTGGGATTCAGGAGCTGAGGAGAAATTCCAGCCTCAGCCCCCACTGCCACCCCAGCCGGGCGTTCTGCTGGTGCTGTCTCCCCCTCCCCACACCCTCAGCAGATTTTTCTTTCCCAGTTTCCTGGACAGAAGTATGGGTTCCATCTTGGAAAGCCATTAAAGGTTTGGTTTAATCAGGGATGTCTCTCTCAGCCACGCTGACACAATTAGTTAAATTAATGTGCTTTGTGACTAAATGCCTTTTCCCCTCAAGGCAATGTTAACGTGGCACAACCATTTCTGCCACTGCCAGCTACGATTTTTTCATTTTCTTCCAGTATTTCTCATCTCTTTCAGAGCTACCCAGCTGACAATATAATTTAGCTCCTCACACGTAGCACGGATCAGCTCCACAGGCTGATTCAGTCACAATATTGTGCTCACATGCCATCATTTGACGTGCACACACTGTCGTGTCTGTAAAGCTCATTCTGCTGAAGGCACGTTACAACCTCAAAATGCTTCACTTCTCTGTAATTATTGTCCTTATTTCTTATTCTTACACTCTTACCACCAGATTCTGTTTAGGTGACACAGTTAGCATCCGCTGGATAAAGTGCAAGCTCCACTACTTACGAAAACACAAACCACAAACCCACAGGTTTTTTCCTATAACTACATCTTACAATTTTATACTTGAAGAGCTAAAAAAAAAAAAAAAAAAAAAATCAACCCAAACAGCTCTTTTAACGACTCAAACAAGTAAAATACACCTTTCAGAAACCACAAAGATGAGAGGTTTTCATGTCACAGGGGTTTTCAGATGCACCAGGCACGAGCAGTTTGATTTCAGCAGAGTTTGACATGCCTGGCTTCAAAAACAAGAATTGGCTGATGCTGTGCTCCCACCCCAGCCAGGAGTTTTCTGTGTGTTGGCTGAGTGGAAATGCTCGAGGTGATCCCAAGCTGTCTTTTGTAACCCTGAAGCAGCTCAGGCTCCTCTGATGGGGATAAAAATAGAAACAGCGGAACTACTTTCAACAAAACTTGCAACACAGGAAGTGAATGAAATTCCACTTAACCATTGCTGGCTCAACAGAAGGCACCTTACAGAGTCAGGCCCTGTAACATTTCCTCTGAGTGACTAAAAGAATGGATTAACATT